CCAGTGTGCAGCCCCACCTGGATGATGTGACGGCAACCATAGTGCGCCAGAACGCTCACCACACATCAGCTATCAGTAGGGAGGAGAGCAGAGTAATGAAGCCAATTTATAGATGGGGATTATTAGGAGGCCATGATTGGTAAGGGCCAATGGGAAGTTTTGGCTAGGACGCCGGGGTTACACCCCTACTCTTTTCGAGAAAGATAGGCTATAAAAATATTTGTTAAGATTTTCTCTCAGCTGTGTCACACAGCTTTTCTTCTGCAAATTAAACTGTATTAACAGTCACAATTGTCAGAATAATAGAAACATAGTAGAAGCTTTGAGAGCATTGGTGATGCTCTTTACACATACTTTAACTTGTGATTGTATCTAAGACATCTGAACAATAGGGTATGCTAAAATATTTTATACAGTACTAAGTTGACATTTAATCCATTCATCCATGATGTTCCATGAAGTGAATAGCATTTGCTTTTTAAGAAAAAGTTGACTCCATATCTTTGAAGATCACAGATAGTGATTGAGTAAAAATAGCCTTTTGTTCAAGCCCATTCTATTGCAGTGTCATTTACTGCAGGAGTAGGGATAATGTAACACAGGAATAATGTGCTGTCATATTACCTATTTCAAAAAATTATTTTCAAAGGAACTTAGAAAAATAAAGGAATTTGAATCTTTACATTATTTGAAATTGACTGCAATAACTAAAGCACAGACTGGCTATAGACAAAAAGTTAAAGCTACTATTTCTTAACTGTCAAATTAAGATTAAGACACAAGGAAAGTTAAAAATAGCTTTCCACACAGACAGTGTATTGACAATGTATTGACAATGTTAATGCTAATGAGGAAGTTATAATTTTGGTTCTAGATATTAAACGATTTAATGAACTGACTTTAATTATAAGTTCTATCTGACATTTCTGGCTTAAAAGGGGCATCAGTGAAATCTGATACAACTTAACATCTTCAAAGCTGCTTCTGTCAGACTTTTTTTTACCTGTGATGTAATATTTTCAGGTGATTTAAAGATCTGGATAATCTGGCTCGAACCCGTGCTCACGGACCTCAGCCTGCATGCAGGGGAACACTGGAACCCCCTTCCAATCACTCTCAATGCCAAAATAAAAGTGTACAGGAAAAGAAATGACTCAAAATTAGGGGTAGCAGAATATATTGATTATTTATTATATAAATTCTCCAGATCTTTAAATCACCTGAAAATATTACAGTTCCTCATGAGCATTAACATTGTCAATATCTGAGTGTGGAAAGCTGTTTTTAACTCTCCATGTGTCTTAATCTTAATTTGACAGTGAAGAAATAGTAGCCTTAACTTTTTGTCTATACCCAGTCTGTGCTTTAGTTATTGCAGTAAATTTCAAATAAAAAAAACACACAACTGACTGGGTATAACAAAATAATGATCAATCCTAAATTTGGAAGAAAAAAGCATTTCACTTACTAACTGATAATCCGCTTCAATGTTCCATTCAATTCAGTTTAATACAAGCTTTATTATCCTTTTGGGAAACGTTGTTTCACAGCACAATCCAATTCAAAATTGCAAGAAAGAAAGATAAACAATATCAACAAAAAAGACAGTACATCAGTGTTTCAGGAGACCGAAGAATTACATTACATACGACTCTTGATCTACCCCAATAGTTTTTACTGCTTATCTGCACTAATTTCCCCAGCCTTTTACAATAAACAGTACTGGTGTTGCCAGGCCAACAAGGGAGACAGTACAGTATGTTAAAACACTTTCAATAAATTATATGATTTTCATTTTTAACATTTGTGGTATATGTGGGCTACAATTATGAAATTGCATATACTGTAGCAGACTTCAAAGTGATGAAAGTTTTTTATCTATGCTACAGATCTTTCAAAGGGACACTATAGTCTAAATAAAGATAGAGAAATATAGTAAGGAGCTCAAGCTGGCAGAAAAAAAGGGATGCATTCAATGCTATATATGTTGTGATGCCATCTTCTGCCTCTTACAGTATATTATGGAGGCTGTTTTCACATAAATAGGAGACAAATTTATTTCTGATATTACTAAAACAGTTTTACAATAAAAATATTTTTAGAATATTTTTGTGTCAAATATATGGCTTATTTTGGATGAAGAAGTAGTGTCCCTTTCAGAGTTCTGAAGAATGTCTTTGTCTTTTCTGTGGTTCTGTGTAAAGAGCTTTACAGTACGTGACTTAAAATCAAACCTTTTAGTTCTTATCAGGAGAAAGAAGGCAGGTTGGGACAGGAAGAGGAGCTGGTGTGTTCCATTTGCATACGTGATACTATTTTAATTGTTGATCTGGGTTTCAGACTTAGTTAAAAGTCACATCTCGCTTCAGTTCCTTGAAGCATCCCTGTCAGAAATGTCATTTCCATGTTCTGCATTTTTCCCACTTTATTAGATTTAGACGTTTCTTCCAGTTTGGTCTATATCATAATATCATTAAACAGAGCTAGTTGGGAGAGCTACTATATAGTGCACATTTAGTAAAGCTAGGAAACTGGCAGGTATTCCTGAGCCAGATGGGATCCTGAATGCTGGTCTTATGTTAACACACCAGGTGGCTGTCATGCCAGAAACCATATTACACTAGATATATATAAACTAAAAGGAAAGCTGTGAACTTGTTCTACCAAAATGTTCTACCATTAATATTAAGATTATTGCCAGTAATCATTAGTATCATTAAATATTTGTATTGTAAGAATGACTGCCATGCTTCAAGAACTGAAGCAAAATCTTTGGTTCCATATCATAATACTTAAAATAATGCTGAAAATGCAAGGCTTCAGGAATGTGACTTCTGTGACATGAGTAGATACAATGTTTCCTTGTCTGTCTTGTGTCATGGTCCGTTCAGGAGGATTAGGCGGGAAAGGAGAATGCTTAATGCCTATGACGACTCATTCAATTCTCCTGAAAGGTACATTTGAAATACAGTACTGTACTGTATGTGCTGCCCTAGATATACTGTAGATTAGAAATGCGTATAGAGAGATTCCAGGTAACTTTGTAGATTAAACAAAGAGCTTAGATTTACAGCTGTAACCTGCTTTTAGTGATCTGCTTTCAATGTATCAGGCTGTCATTTTTTTCAGCACCTACTGTATGCTATCTTCTTTTTTTAATGTTCTTCACACACTGAGAAAACGGGTGGTTTCTTCTCCAGAATACAGTAGCCTGGAAATTCCTGTAAACCTAAAATTGTCATGACTTTCCCAAAAGATGAGAAAATGCTTTTAGAATTACAGTTATTATTTAACAGTTGTAAGTAGTAAAAATCTTGATTACGTTTTGTTTTCATTTTTTATTTTATCTAATTATTTGTTATTTATTTCTATATAAGTGAAAGTAACTTTAATATTCATTATTTAATATACAGTACTGTATGTACTATAATATATTCATTATTTTAATTCTGTGCACAGCAATTATTCCCATTGTCATAAATGCTGGTAAATACAAATAGCTATGATATTGCCTATGTAGCCCTAAGCCTTTTAGATTAAATAAAAATTGAAAGAGTAAGCAGGCTGAACATACTGTAATTCTCACCAGCTGGTCAACACTTGTTTAAATAAAGATGGGATCCAGTATTTCAATATGCCAGGAGAGATAATGTAATCTGAAATAAGTGTTGGATGTTATATAACCACATATTTCTTTAGGAAATGTAAGACAGCATTTAAATACAAATTCATCATGCAAAGATTTAAAAACCTAAACCTCAAGAAAATGTCAATGAGGTCAGAAGAGACAGAGTCTTCAATACATCCTAAAACAAATGAAAAAAAAGTCCTAAAACTTTAAAACAATAAATTAAATTAATTATCTGACTTAAAACTAAATTATCTGACAGAATACAGTATGTGATATTTTTGTGATTACATGTGAATGGAAGAAATAATAACAACACAGTTTTATTTAAAACGTGAATGCATATAAGAATTGCCAGCTCTGTCTATGTAAAAATGCCTTCTTCCTGTTGACAATTACGAATATCCTTGTGAAATTTTGTATGTACTTTAAGGTGTTAGGCACATACTGTATGTTCAACATGCCATTTGATAAGCACAACTACAAGGCTCGCCTGGTCAGTATGATTGAAATCAAACGATTGCTACTGTATACATAATTCTGGGAAAATCAGTGATGATGGATTACTATTTTGATTGTTAATCAATTATAAATGCAAACGTTGAAGGTCTGAACCTTACTCCCCCCATTTTTTCATTTTAGACAGAAGCTGGTGAGAACTAGTGTCTTTCGACTGACTGTACAGTAATTAGATCAACTCTTTTTTTATGGCAGTTTCAGGCATGTATTATTATTCTTCAAAGTACTGATTACTCTCCCCAGCATTGATAAGGCTGAAACCTAGAGAAAACACTGGTTAAGGACCCTCTCACACTCAAGTAGTGCTGATGCCTTTCTGTTGAGAATTTTTTTTTCCAGGCATTTTCTTTCCCCACTCTTCTATATCTGTATTCCCAGCAGACACAACCTTTTAAATCCACATGATGTGTTTCTCTTTTTAAAGATGGTACAATGGACCTAGCACTTGGTCAAATCATGTAGTGAATGGTACATGTGAGGATTACAGGTAAGCAGAGTGGTGGCATAAGTGTCAGTTTTCAGCTTTCTCATAGAGCTGGCAGCATTCTTATGCAAAGCAGCAACTCAGAAAAGTCGGCTGCTGTTTGCATGATGACTGCAGAGTGCTGTTTTGTTGCCAGTGTGCCGTGTTTGCCCTGATCGTATCAAAGGAATCTTCTGACAGCGAAGCGGTGAATGGTTTATTTAATCGGAGAGGCGTTATTGTGGATCTCCAAGTAGCATTTCTATGATTTCTTTTTTTGAAATTGAAGACTTTATTTATTTTTACTTTGAGTCGGAGTCATTGGCTTTCTCTTAAGATGCTTGAGATTCAGTTAATGTGCACAAACATTGAACTTTTCTGAAGTCACAATAATATAAGAAAGTACATCTGCAAACTTTAATAATCAGTGCAGCTGGCATTACCTGCTAGATAATTGACCACGGTGTATAGGTCATCTTCTGATGGTATCAATTACACTGAGCTTCAAAAGAAACTTATCACTTAAAAAATGCAGCAATTTCATAAAGTTTTTTTTAATCAGGAAAACACTTAAAACATTTTTTGTAGGCAGTGCACTGACATTGATCAGACATAGTAAATTCATAATGCTGAATGCCGATGACTGTTATCAAAATACAGTAGTTAATCTGTAGCAGGTCTGCTGTGAAAGTCACGGGATGGCCTTGTAAAACTGTTGTAGGAAGCAATATAAGCTGTACATCTTACCAGGCTGCAGATGTTGTTTTGTGGGATTCTTTTCCTCTTCTTTTCGGAATAAATACTGAACGAGTTAAAGCAATATGCACACATAGAATAATAAGTTTCTTTTGATGTTCTGTGTACAGTATGTTCCCTTTTAATTATAAAATCTTAACTCGAGTTTATGATTACGTCACATTCTCATTTGATGGGAAGTCTTTACAGTGTGTCTATTTTAGCAAAGGTAGCTTAGCATTATACTAAATAGGGACTGTTCATATATTTAGTGAATGCATTTTGTGGTCTGTAAAAATGCACAATCGTTCTGAAGCAATTTAGAAATGCAATACATATTTGAATGGGTTGGTATTAACTTTGCAGTTCTGACCCATTAATACTGTATGTTTGATATTATATAAAGAAAACTCATGACAGACCTCTAGAAAGTGTTAGAGCTCACACCCTGTTTTATGCACTTGTTGTTGGCTTCTCTATGGGCAATCACAAAAAGTTTTTCACTTTCAAAATGTGTGCTAGCTAGACTGAAAGTGCAAAACTGATGTCTGTACACTTTAAAGTCCCAAAGGTCCACTGTTTAAATACATTGTGCAGAAGCCATGTCTTTGCCATGATAATGAGATGTCTCTGCAACATTCATCTACCCAGAACAACGCTGCTCAAACACAGAAGCTCTTAAATTACAGGAATTAAGTTTTGTAGGACCATCTACTGTATACAGTAAGAGTAACAAATGACTTCTAGCACAACCTGTGTACCATGGATATCCTTTAAATCAAATTACAGTTATCAGGCATCCCAGCACGACTAATGTCATGAGCCAATGTTAAATGTACATTGGGCTGCACAGCTACAAATATAATTGGGTTTTTATTTTTTTGGTCATGAATCTAGGGTGGCTTTTTGAGACAGTTTCTGTACATGTGCTGTATTTTAAATGGCAGTTTATAGTCCAAAATAGAATACAGCCTATACTGTATACACGATTGGAAACTTGGTCAGTTTCTGCCTATTACTGTTTACATTTACTTTTACATTTACATTTTGCATGAGAAAGCCATGATAATTATAAACTATCTTTACAACACAGAATAATGTCCTTTATTTTCTTTCACACAATTCACTAAACTTGAAACTGATGAAACAAAAGCCATCAAAGATAATTGTTAATTCATGTAATGAGAGTATCTTCAGATACTTAACCAACAAGAAAGACCTAACAAACAATTACAGTACATTTCAAGTTGTATGCGTTTAAAATTATATTTCCAATGTATCAGTTTTGTATTTTGTGTTTCAGACTTTAGAAAGGAGATATTACCATTCCCAATTGCTTCTCTGAAACAAGTTGCCAATATTAAATCTAAATTCTAAATTTTTAGTTTAATCATAATCCAATATTAAAAACAGAGAAATGGTATAGTTTCATAACAAATATTTTAAACAATGCATCCTCTGTTTATCTGCAGTTTTAGTTATGACAATTCATAGTGCAACAATAGTGGACTGTGTATCCTGAAACTTACAAGCTAAACACAAATATACAGTACCCATCTGTGTTGTGGAGACTAGCTAGATCCACACATTCTGGCCCTGACTGAGTGCAAGTTTGTCTAACTAATGTGACTAAACAGCAAAGTTCATTTATCTAGCAGGAAATGTCCAAGGATAGAAATTCAACAGCCTTCCACGGACACTGACAGGTATTCATTACTGACAAATAGCTGAAGTAGTTCCCAGTAATAGTAGACATTAGATGTATCCTGCCTCACTTGTGATGTGCTCAGTTCAGGTTTATTTTTACAAGACAGTTGTTCAAAAGTACTGTAAAGCAACTGTTTGCCCTTTTCCTTGAAAGTAAAGCCAAACACCATCTTCACTTTTGACTTTTCTTAAAATAAAGAAAAGGAAGACTTAATTTTCAGTCAGTGCAGAACTAAAGCTTCAAAATGTAATGGTTACAGAAGTTGTTGTGTGTTGTGTTTTGTAATGCTGCTAGTTTATAAAATACTTAATATTGTTTTTATACAGTAGGTCAGGTTTTAGCATTTTAAAATAAGTATACTTATAACTAAAGAGGACTCTGTTTAACATTAATTTACTGTTACTGGCAATTAGTAGATGGATACTGGTTTTTGGCCAGCTGGCTGGAGTTGAGGTTGCAGGTTAGAAGACCCACATGGCTTTGTTTTAAGACAGGGTTCAACTGGCAGGATAAGGGAAATATTTAGATGTAAATTAATGTACTGTTGCTAAGTACCAGCATCAATCATGTTCTGCTGTTATCGAGGTTGTAATTAATTTTTCTCATCTTACATAACAGACATAAAACATTAAAAGGGAAAAATAACATGAGAACTGGGAAACTGTAGAGCATTTTGTTTCTATCAAAACATCCAAACGTTAGGATCATTCACATTTATTGTTATATCACATGTATTGTTTACAGCGTGGATGGAAAGGGGCATACAGTTGCTTGATGTTTGTTAAAGGGATTTGAAACATGTACTGTACAGTGCATATGAAAATCACTTAGCACTGTTCAGTTTGATTATTCTAATGTAACATGCTAATTCTAGCAGAAAAACATCTGTCACTTTAAATGATGTCAGAGACACTTGTTTGCTCAGCTGATCTCAGGAACAGAAAATCAATTTTATTCATAGTAATTTCAAATTGTCTATCATTTACAACTTAATCCTGGTGGACAGTGGTAAATGACATATGCTGTACAGACTGTGTATCAAAACAATGAGAATGGATTTTATTTGAGAGTTTTGATTTTGCTATACTTATGAAGGTCTCTTAAATTATATGGACTTTTCATGTAATCTGTGTAATTCCTGTTCAGTATTTATTAAAGTCTGCTTTCCAATTCCTATATAAAGAGAGACAGTGGAAGCTTTGGCAGAATTACAGTCACACTCTGAAGCTGAACAGCCTGATCCAGAAGAAGACACGAGGTAATAGTTTAGTTTAGAAAAGACCCTTTTCGTGTTCTAGCTGAGCGGTGCATTCACTGACATTGAATCTAAAACAAATAAGTACTAATCATCTACAGAAGTAATAAGAAGCAGAAAGCTACAGGAACATATTGTCCTGACATTTTTAAACCCTGTTTTTTAATATAAAATAAATAATAGTCTTTTTGCTGTTTTTAATTGATATGCCTTTTATACTATTGATTGGTTGGTTTACTTATTAATTGATTTGATTGATACAATGTCACTTGTATGAATGCTTTCAATGACATGCCAAAGACTGTGAGGTTTGAGCCTTTTGATATATTACAACCTCTGTTTCCTACTGTTACACATTCCTTCTGCTCATGGCTTTAAGAGTCAAGCCAACTCAGTTAAGAGTTGGTGGTTATTTATTGCTGAAATTTGTAATGACAGGTTTATAATGAGAGAGTACTGCTGGACTACTTTTCACAAAATGGGTTTATTACATGACCTTTATGTCTTTTTCTTTATCAGACAGTATATTCCTTCTTTTAAACCTGAAAATTCAATGAAGGCCTGGTTGTCACAGCGATACAAAGGTTGGATAGCTGAAATATATATTTCATCATTCAATTTAAAAAAAAAACTGGGTCAGCACAGATAAAGCACCGTGCTCTTGTGAAGGGATCTTGTGTTCAACAAACATTGAAAAAATATTTTTAAAATACACTGCTTGATAGCCATATATTGCCCTTAAAAAATAGGATCTGCATTTGAAAACTGGACTGTGTGTGACCATTTCGAAATCACATATTTTTCCATCACTCACTCATTGTAAAGGTAAATAAAACCTAATCTATCTAATAATATGATGATGATGCTTATCATGTATACTGTATGTACAGTATAACCTTAGTACTTCCCTCAACCTTAATGATGAACAATCTTACTGGATTTCTAATTGTCCACTGTTTTTCAACAAGTATATATTTAGTATTGTGATTATAATGATAAAAACTGGTTATACCACACAGATGTTTTCAGAGACTTAAAGCATGATTGGCTCACTGGTCAAAGATGCCACCCTTGTGCTCAGGTTTTAAAATGATCCATTTCATACTGTTAGATATTTAGTTTGATACAGTGTTAAATGCTTATAACCAGCTTTAAAACATTTGTTCAGTTTGATCAAATCTCAAGTGCCACCGTGTCTAATTTTATCTCTGGAAAGAGCAACCTGCAACAAAATGGCATACAATATCTGCTAAACCTTCACATTGAAGCAGTAATTCCCAGGCATGAACTCCATTGCATACAGTATGTGAAAACAACATTATCAGCATTTGTATTTAATAACTAATTGCCAAACCAGGGCTGAATGGCTCATTTGTAACTTTTTTATGTATGTCTAAAGTCTGAGTTGAACCTGTTAATTTTGCTCATATTATTATCAGATTATCATTCAATGCATCTTCAATGATTTTAGCCACAATTGGTCCAAACTAAATTGTAAAGAATCTACAGATATAAACAGAATACACACGTTTTATGTAAAGCAAAGCACAGAATTTATAAATGGAATTCACAACCCGTCATAGAACATTTCTTTCTAATAACTGGTATTTCCAGGAAATCAGGATTTCAGGTGTATGTATATCTTACATTTTTCTAAGAGCTATAATTTTACATAGGTCTAAAAGCATTTGTATTGTATGTGTTTTCTTAAAGTTTAGCAAGGTGGTTATATACAATTTTCTACACTGAGCAATACGTACAGTACTTTTTTTCTTTTTTCATTTAATGCTATTGTTTCAGCTCAGGGGCTGTCTTTATTTTCCCGGTGGACATTTCTGATATACTTTTACAATGTATCACAAAAAAAGAAAACTTGTTTTCTTACAGCTCACAGAAGATGAGGATCCCAGCATTTCCTGTTTTTAACTATTGTGTTGTTGTTTGAAATGACCAAAAATGGTATATATGACTCTTTCCAACAAAAACTCTTTTTAGCATTTTGTAAAATATATGGCATTCTATATTTCAGGAATGAATTGAAGATTTAAACTACTGTATGTTGCTATGGGGTACTGTAGAAAATGCAAATCTTTAACCTTATTGACAAAGGCATTGGGGGTATAACAATATTTATCTGGCTATACCAGTGATTCCCAAAACAGGTCTTGGTGGACCACAGTCTCTGCTGGCTTTTTTTCCAATGATCTCTAACTCTCCAGTGCTAATTGACGCCTTTATTTGATGTGCTTACTTTTTGTATATACCACACTTCTAGGGGACTGCTGTATTTCCAATCACTTCTGCATACTGAACTTCAAGATGTCTCTACTTAGGTTACTTGTTGAAAACAAGCTCCAATTGAAATTTGCAATTAATTAGCTTGGGGCAAAACACAGAGCATGTCTTGGCATTGGGACAGCATTTAAGTCATACAATGTAAAAGAGTGGGGCACTGTGGTATAGGGCAAAGCTTAAAAGATTCAGACGTTTTGAATCATGAACTTAAACACATTTTCCACACATATGAAAGTCAGGCAATTCACTAGTAAGATCTCATTTACAACAATATCTAGAGTTTTGGTCACCAAGTTACTTTAAAGATATTACTGCTCTGGAAGAAATCCTAAAGAGGAGTGAAGCGATACTGTCCCAGGCTCAAAGAAATGTCCTACACAGTTAAAACTAATCTTTTTAGTCTTGAACGTAGAAGGCCTGATTCAAGTATTCAGTATTCCTCAAAAGGACTAACAAAGTCAACCAATCCAACTCCAGCTCAGACTCAACGATGAGCTTGAACCAAGGGGATACATGTGACACAAAGTGACAGCTACTGGGAGATGCATTGAAAACTGAGAACAGGAGGAGCTGTTTTGCAAAAATCTGTGTTGGAGTCTGGAACAAGCCACCCAGCCAGGTTGTCAAAAAATGATAGCCAGCATTTTCTTTTTTGAGAAACAGCTGCAGGAGATCCATGTTTAAATTCACTGCTCGGAACCGAACTAACCAGATTTCATGCTCATGTAGCTGAATGGTCTCCTCTGGTTATCTTTTTATTTCTTATATAAACTCATCTCGGATTTGCCTAGTTAAGTAATAGTGTTTTTTTTTTCCTTGTATTGGTGATTTGATGTTATCAAAATGTACAGACTAAAATTCACAGCCAGATCTTTGCAAATGTGTCGCACTAATAGGTTTATATTGCGCTGTGTATTACATCAATCGCTATGTACACCCCCCCCCAAAAAAAAAGCAGTGTTCCCTCGAAGTGCACAGTGCAGTCACAATGACCCCAGGGCTGGTCCACTCAGCCAGCTGCTGCTCCACGGGCGTTTCACCGTGCAGGGATGACCTCGTGCCATGTCATGTGCCGTATGTTGTTTGCTCTAGGAGCTGGGTCAACTGAGTGGTTTTCTGAATAACATTGCAGGAATTGCGAAGCCCTGGACAGACATGAATGTCAAAGGTCCAGATCCACAGATCAGCGCCCTGTCCTAGAGCGGACCGCCTCCCGCTCCCGGTCCACTGAGCGCCCCGACTCAAACCTCATGAGGTCGATGCCATCTTTACCGTCTGGAAGATCTGCCCCTCCCTCACCTGCCTTGACGAGGTGACCCAGACAACTCCAAAAAAAGCCCAACTAATTCAACCCCGTCGCCACTCCCCTTCCACTCTTCCTATACACAACTCCCCCGCCAGCTCACCTTTTATTTTCCTGTAGTATAAGTGCTGTATTTTTTCCATCTTAGACTAGCCTCTAGATACTGTAGATACTAACGTTATTTCTTTTACAAACACACACACACTACTTATATTCTGTACGGATATAATGGTGTGGGATTTTCATTGTTGTTTCTTTACTAACATAACTAAAGATTTTACAGCATCTGTTTTGTTTTATTTTTTTCCTTTTCTGTGGTTCATTAGGAATAAGCTGGGTAGTGTCCTGCATTTACACTGTAAATCCTCATGGCTACCTACCTTTCTTGCAGCTTAAGACTCTGACGCCAGTGTTTTGACATTTGACATCACCTTTGTTGCAGATTTCATAATACCTTTCAGTAACGGGATATAGCAGAATGTTAAATCAGATTATGTGCAGCAATTGTACTGCTTGTGGCTAATCTACTGACTGTGCTCTTAATATGTTTAACAGGTAGCAAATCTTTGTCCATAGAGACTTTGATGAATGATATTGATGCTGCCTGTGTATTGAAAATATTGAAAATTTAGGAATGGATGTTTTAGTTTGCATATGGAGTTTATTTTGAAATGATCATGATTATCCGTTTACTATTATTGATGAAGCAAAGAAGCGATACAAGTGAATAGCAGTAAAGGTGCTATGAATGTTGTTGTGCTCCATCTTGGTTTATCTCATCTGCCATTTTCTAATTCATTGCTCAGACAAAATGAAAATAATGAAGCTTAATCGTAAGTAAATAATGTAGTTATGACTAGATCATTTTATTTAGAGATGTGCTGTATATGACTTTCATTCATTTCATGTAAAAGGTCATATACACCTCTTTCAATTAGCAAAACCAAAAATACCAAAATCTCTTGCACTTAATCACTTTGTTTTCATATGATACGATTATTTCCTATTTTGGCACAAAATAATGTATTTTAATTACATTATGATGTGATTAATATATATTTCTTTATCTGCTATACTGAGTTCAGACTTTGCAACAAATCAGAGGCCGTGATCAGAGGTCTTATACTGCAGCTGATCCACCTGGCCCAGTTTTCATTCCTCTGGTGTTTTACAGTGCCCTGCCCCTGGAATTCTTTATTGACAGCAATTATTTACCAGAGCAAAGTGTGATGCATTTGATTTTAATGAAGTGTGCAAACCATTTACATTTCTCAAAATACATTTTGTATATGTACACTGTATGTGTGCATATTTTTATACTTTTATATGTGATCACATACAGCATTCATCGACATTTTGAAAATGAGTGTTTCTGGTTTTCCAAATCTGTTGCATTTAAGAAAAAAATGATGAGTTCGCTAGAAATTCACAGCAGATCTTTTTTACTTACGCAGATTTTGAAGTGTGCAACATTATTTTTCAGACAACTCTTTGTTTTCAGGCAATATCTTTTCAACTAAAATGTACAGTATGCATTTGAATAGAGTGACTGAGTGTGTTTTTCTACTTTTCTAATAGCTGCCCTTATGAAAGTTT